CTCTCTCTCTCTCTCTCTATTTGTCTCCGTCTCTTTGTCTCTGTCGTATTTTATTCACTCCTGTTTTGTTATATATTTTTTTCGTTTCTCTCCTTTGTCGTATTCATCGTTACGCCTGGGTAATCGCGTGTAACGCAAGAATCTTTCCACCTTTGTTGCGAGAGAATGAGTACAGGATTGCGCGCATACGCGTGTATTGCGCTCGACGACGATACAATACTTTTAACCGGCTCATTCTCACGCGCGTGTGCGCCTCGACGAGACGACGATCGTATCGAGGCGAATCTCCGCGAACGACAACGCAAGATTGATACGGCCGCGCGTTACGCAATCAGCTACCACTTGAGAATTCGAGTTACTCACTGTTTAAATTGCGATATCGCATTTCATGCTCGCGCGCGTCGCCAAGTGTCGCTACTCGACTGCTCACGTTTCAATGAAAGCAGAATTAACGCGATTGTTTCTTCGCGATCACAACGGAGCGCAGAGCGGTAATCGTCGCACTGTCGGGAGTCAAAGTACGCCGCCTCGTGCAATTATGAGAATGTCAAGAGGAAGAGGAAGAGAGAGAGAGAGAGAGAGAGAGAGAGAGAGAGAGAGAGAGAGAGAGAGAAAGTCGACGGGCCTTTCTTGTAAAATGGCGAAGTCATACGGGGTCAAAGAAGGGCAGCGGCGGCGCGGGTGACGAAACCGCGGGGTTGTGTCACTCCGGGGAGAACGGCGCGGAAAAGCTCCGGATGAAGGTGCGACGCGATTTTTCCGAGGCTCCTCCGTGAAACCTGGCGCGAATAAGTGGCGCGCACAGGCACCACCTGTTACCCCTCGGAAGTGAAACGGGCGCTCCAATTAGGGGAACGAGCCTCCTTTTATCGCCGTTCTCGCGCGCCGCGGAACGAGAGGGAAACCGCGAATAAACATTCTCCCCCCTTGATATCTCATTTCACAGGCCCGCGATAAAGCGTCTCGCGACGCCGGATGGCCTCCGAGCGGCCTTTTGTAAAGGCAAAGGGAGCGAGAGAGCGCCGTGGCGTGCGCTTACTTTTCCTGTACTCACCTGAGACGGAGACAGAGAGAGAGAGAGAGAGAGAGAGAGAGAGAGAGAGAGAGAGAGAGAGAGAGAGAGAGAGGCGAAGGAAGAGGAGGGAGAAGAAAGAACCGCCGCAGCGAGGGTGTTGTCCGTAGATTTCGAATGCCGGAGGTGGTCACGGTCGCTTTCTTCATTTCCCGCTTTTGTGCCGCAGACATTGATCTCCATCCGTCCGTCGCTGCGGAGGGCTAAAAAAGGAGCGTTTAAATGTTTGAGCGCAAGCACAGTCTTGATTAATGAGCTTCTATCCGAGGTCTATATTAGCGCGAGTCTTTGCGGATGAAGCATGCTAAGAAAAAGGGAGAGAGAGAGAGAGAGAAAGAGAGAGAATTTATGCAAATCTCCCGGAGGACAATTGGAGATAATTGTGCGGCTCGTTATCGACACGTTGGAGGAAGGTGTCATTCGCGGCACGTTGACATTCGTGCGATAACGACGAGTCTCGTGATTTCGTGTGTACGTCGCGCGCAATTTCCATCGGATATTTCCGACAGCCTACTAATTCAGGGACTGAGGTCGTGACCCCACTAGACTAGGGTTCCCTAACGGAAGTCCTGCACCGCGCTGCAGCTGCATACCAGGGGTGAATATATTATTTCAAGTAATGGGGGCATACTTGGTAAACACACACACATATCACGAGACAAGCAGTTCTAATGGGAGACTTGTGACTTTTAGAGGTTTATGTTAAGTTGAAAAATTATTAACGCGGACAAAATACACGATGTCTCCGAATGAGATCTCCGTTAAAACTCGCGCACGTCGAGTATGAAGAAAGATCATCACCCGACGAGAAATTTTTTTACTTACTAATTCTAGAAGTGATTTTCGCGAAGAATTTGCAAAATTCATTTCTTTTTTCGCAAGAGGAAAAGGAAGAAGGACCCCTACCAGTTTCGCGGAAACTCTTTTTCATGTTCAACAGAATTGAAATTGGTTCCCTGCGGGGCTTGTCATTACCGTTTTGCGGACTACAGGATTCGTGCGGAATGTCTGCGTACACCGAATATTTCCACCGAAGGAGCACCCCGCGGGGACTTCCGGCCAGCCGGCCGGTCGGTCTGTCTGCCTGCCTGCCTGCCTGCCTGCCTTCCTGCCGTCTCCCACTCCCCGCCCCGCTCGACCACCCCCTGGAAATCGATCAGCCCGAACGTGCGGTCGTGATGACGCACTGGAAACTGCTTACGAGTTTACCGCGCGAGTTCGGCAGAAACGCCGGATATCGGGGTCCAGAGTAAACACACACACACACACACACAAAGAGAGGGGGGAGGGGCGATTTTCAATAAACACACTGCCCGATCTCTGTGATTTTTTCGCCGTTGTGTATCGAAGACTCGAGCGTGCGCGCAGCAGTGATTAAGCGCGCGGCCGACCCTCTTGCTGGGCAACGCGTCGGCGATTAATCGCAACGAATTTATCGTCGGCATTATTGCGAGATAGGCGGCAATTAATTCATTTGGAAGGCCGTTTCCTGGCCGATATCTCCCGGCCGCGGATACCACGAGGCTCTCCCGATCGACCACGGCGGTTCGCCTTTACTACCTTGAAGCGCGAGCGCGCTGGAAAGCGGACTTTCTACCGATACAGAAAATACGCGCGCGGTTACGGACTCTTGATCAAACGCGAATTATTCTCTCCCTGCTCGTCATCCTTCCGCGCGACTCTTACGAGCGCAGGGGCGCGCGGGGGGTGCGCGTGCCGTCGAGTAATGGTTCTCTGCTCTCTTTCGGTCGCGCGCTCTTTTCGTCGTAATGAGAGCTCAATGGGAAACCTAATTACGAGGATACACGTTTGTACGCAGTTGTACGCCCCCCCCCTCCCCTCCCTCCCCATATATATGTATCAATATCAAAAAGATATGGATCTTTTTGTCGCGGAAAACACAACGGTTCTATAAATTTCCGCCGTTGGTTATCCAAAAAAGAAGCCTGCCTCTCTCTCTCTCTCTCTCTCTCTCTCTATCTCTCTCTCTCTCTTACGCTGTTTATTTATGGACATGGATTTCCCGCCCTGTTAGCTTGTAGCTTCCCGAAGATTATTCCCTTATTCCGTCGGAAAAATGATAAAAAAAAAAGCGGCGGGCAATATATTGATTTTTTTTCGTCTCCTTTTTTGTCCGGACTCGCCGATAATCTTTTTAGCTCCGAACCGTCGAGGATATTTCCGACAATGCGCGAACGTGCCCCTAGCGACGTTTGCTGCACCCTCGGCTGCCGCTCGATCCTTGGGGATAGTATTTTTAGTTTGAGATCTCGCTCGAGGTCGTGTATCGGGCATCGATCGCCGAGAATTACAGCTCATTGAAGTCGCGCGAGAGAGCAAACGAGCGAGCGAGCCACCTCGAGCCGAGTAGCCAAATGCGAGCCGGCTGAATCCTGGATAATCTCCAACGTGTCGTTTCTGCTCGAGGCGCTCTATACGCACGCATATACACGCCTGAAAAAGGGGTGACATACGTCGCCCGAAATATTAAAGTAGGTCAGAAGGCGCGGATTATTCATTCAAATCGTGCGCCGCTCGTCGGCGCGGCGCGTTTTTCACAATTCCCACTTAAGGTTTGCTAGATCAACGAAAAAAAAAAAAGAAAAACTGCGAGTCGAGACCGCGAACGATATCGACAGTAATTTTGTGAAAGTCGTCGATCGCTAATTGATATTGTCTCAAAGAGAGAGAGAGAGAGAGAGAGAGAGAGATGCTAATTAATGTGAAAGGAATGGATGTAATATCAATCAAATTATGATTAATACTATATCATTGGTACTAAATGAAATTACATTTAATGATTTTAATGATTAAATAATATCGCGACCTCGCGTAGCGCGGATTAAGCGTTGCGTGTCGAAGCGCGTCGACTTACGGCGCCGGCTCATTTGCGCTACTCGATCACGCGTCGTTGCGATCGAAGCGGTCGACGCGAGTGCGAGATAAAACGATCGAGCCGTGCGGTTTCGGCGCGCTCGCTGCCAGGTGCGTCATAAACGATACACGCGCCTTATTTTACGCGGGCCACGTGCATCGTTTACGACGAGCTGGAAACGGATACAACACACGTACGTACGAATGGCCGCCGCCGTCGCCGCCGCTCGCACATCCGGTACATCCCGTTTCGCGCGGAACGACGACGACGGTACCGCCGCGCTCGCGCGGCGCACAAATTATTAACGAGCCCGTGCTTTATACGACTTGATCGATTCTCACGAGTGACTACGCTACGCGCGCGCAAGTCGCGCCGGGAGATATGCACATCGCGGTTTGATACAGTAATAAACTGTGTTACGCAGTGAGTCTAACAGCAGAAATACACACCTCCTATCGCCCGTCTCCGCGCAAACTCCCCCGGAGCGATTTAATTTGAGCGTTCTTCTTTTTTTCTTCTTCTTTTCTCCTTCTTCGTTTTTTTTTTTTTTCTTTTTCTTTCTTTTCCCCCGAGAAACGGGATTGGAAAGTTGGTCGAGGGTGGCTGAGCGCTGGGAAATCTGACTGACGCGGTAATTGGCCGGCGAACAATGCGCAATCCCTCCATATTCAACTTTCTACACAGCGACCCGTTTTGCACGGTCAATTGTTTCCGAAAAATGTTATCTCGCTCGTGAGAGGCGCGATGGCGCCTCCGCCGCGGTAGGGAGAGACTTTCAACGCGCACGATTCTACGTTATTTATTATGCTGCTGATGCGAGTGCTGCGATGATGGGTATCTCACGATTTGATATCTCCTCATGATATCTAATTATTGCGACTAGATACACCAAGTAGATTTAGATAATTAAATTACCATTAGATATCTAATTGTAACAATCACGCCGCGGTCCGACCGAGAGAGAGAGAGAGAGAGAGAGAGAGAGAAAGAGAGAGAAAGAGAGGAAGAAAGAGAAACAACGTCATAAACGTGGCCGGCTTCGCTTGATTGCAGGTGATCGACTTCGGCTCCAGCTGCTACGAGAACCAGCGGGTGTACACGTACATCCAGAGCCGCTTCTACCGTGCGCCGGAGGTGATCCTGGGCGCGAGGTACGGCATGCCGATCGACATGTGGAGCCTCGGCTGCATCCTCGCGGAGCTGTTTACCGGCTTCCCGCTGCTGCCGGGCGAGGATGAGGCGGACCAGCTGGCATGCATCATCGAGATGCTCGGCATGCCGCCGCAGAAGTTGCTGCAGACCTCGAAGCGGGTGCGGCAGTTCATCAGCTCGAAGGGCTACCCGAAGTACTGCACCGCGACGGCGATGCCGGACGGTACGACAGTGCTGAGCGGGGGTCTCTCGAGACGCGGCAAGCTGCGGGGTCCGCCCGGCTCGCACGACCTTGAACGCGCCCTCAAGGGCTGCGACGACGTGCTGTTCTTGGACTTTCTCAAACGTTGCTTAGTGTGGGACCCGGAGAACCGGATGACACCGAACAAGGCGCTCAGGCATCCGTGGCTGCGTCGCCGGCTGCCGAGGCCGCCGGGCGACAAGAACGACACGTTGCCGGCGGTGACGACGGCGCAGCCGGCGACCACCGGTGGCGGCGGTTCCACCCTGAGAACCTCCGCGTCCGGCAGCAGGAGCTCCAGCAAAACCAACAGCTTACAGAGCGGCAGCAACAACGTCGGCGGCGGCGGCGGCGGCGGCGGCGGCGGCGGTGGTGGTGGTGGTGGTGGTGGTGGTGGTGGTGGTGGTGGTGGGGGTGGTGGTGGCGGTAAGTCAATCCAGGAGATGTCCGTCTCCACGATTTCGGGCTACGCTTCGGGCTTCGTGGCTCCGCCGCCGTTGCATGGGTCTAATTGGTCGAACCTGAGCGGCCACCAGTCGCTCAACTCGGTCGGCGGCAGGAGCTCCAGCAAGACCAACAGTCTGCAGGGTGGCAACGCGAACGACGACGTTCCCGCGAGCAAGACGAGAGAGCAGAGGGATCGCATACTCGCGGAGGTGTACGCGGGTTACAGCTCGACGTACGTCAACCCGTCCAATTGGGGGAACCTGAGCGGACACCACTCGCTCAACTCCGTTGCCGGCGGCAGAAGCTCCAGCAAGACCAACAGCCTGCAGAGCGTCAGCACCGCCGGTGATATTATCTCCGCGAGCAAGACCGGGCAGCAGAGGGACCGCCTGGACGACCTGTCGATGGTGAACCCGTTCTTGGGCTACCCCTGCATGTCTGAGTCCCACTTGCACGGGAATCACCGGTCGAATCAATCGAGCAGTCATCAGTCGCTCAATTCCGTCGACGGTGCGACGTCCGTTAAGCAGCGCGTCAGTCGTCAAGTGCACCAGGCGCAGCAGCAGCAACAGCAGCACAACAATAATGGGTCGCATGGCTCGTCCCACGACAACTACAGCTCCCACGGTTCTTCCGGTAGTTCTAACCGACTACACCCGACGGTTCAGGAGATCCTTAACGATCTCAGACGATAGGCCGAGATGTGCGACGCCACCTTTTCTCGCCCACTGCCGTCCCTGGCGCAGCTGCTGATGAGCGCGCTTCGTCGCGACCGACCAAGGATCGCGCGATTCCGCCGTAGACAGAGGGAGGTGCATGAAGAGGACGAAAAAGAAGAAGAGGAAGAAGGTGAAGAAAAGACGCAAGGATAAGGATGGTCCGGTCCCGGTCACCCGACGTGAAACTCGGCTGTGGCGCTGCCTCCTGCCGTTCGGCCGACGACCCAGGTCGCTCGACTCCGCGAGGGTCACTCAAGGTCGAGAGGGTGGGCGACGGGTCTCATCATCGATCTCTCGCTGATACCGCTGTGATTCACGCGTTGCGTTCGCACAGTCGCCGTTGCGTGTGCGCGGGGCGTGAGGTAGTTATAATCTGGATTCTCTTCTTCAGAGGTGCGTGTGAACAAACGAGGACGTCAGACAGCGAAAGAAAAGAGGAAAGAAAGAAGGAAGGGAACGTAGCTCGTTGCTCGCGTTGACCGCACGACGGCCACGCTCCTCGCTGAAATTCTCCCCTGAACGTTATCGATCGAATTACCGTTGTTTCGAGCCCGGTACGCGTCGTACATCGTCGTCACCGTCGCCGTCGCCGTCGCCGCCGCCGCCACCGTCGACGACGACGACGACGACGACGACGACGACGACGAGTACGAGTCAAAACGGTGGCATCTCTAGCTGGAACGCGAGAAGCAACGGTAATCTCGAAACGAGAGCGAAAAGACTCATTTTCGCGGATTCGCCGTCGGCGTTATAACTGTTTCACGCCTCGACATACGACCTACGACACGGTACGAGACCGGTTGTCGTTTACCTCGAACACACACAACACACACACACACACACACACATACATCTTAGAACTCGTCGGCGACGACGACTCGCTTCGCGTTGCTCTCTGGCTGCCCGCTCGTAGCCGGGATTTATTCCTGCTGCCATTGCTGCCGCCGGTGAGAAGGAACGCGACGGCGGCGGTCGCACCCCGCCTTTAGCCGTCCGTTTCCGCTACGACAATCTTTCGAGGAGCGCGACAGGTCGGCGGGAAAATGCGAAACGGATCGAACGCGCGAGACCGCTCGAGGGCAAAGCGGAGCGGCGCTCGTCGTCGGGCCCTTTACCACGTACCACCTCCGTTTCACGAGGTTTGTTCCTTATTTTTTTTTTCTCTCGAAGGTTCCCGCACTCATTCACGCTCGCATTCGCTCATTCGGCCGAGCGGTGTCCGAGCACCGCACAGCATCGTTCGTCCGACGAAACGCGACCGACGCGGCGGTAATCGCGAAGGAGCGAATCATCGGAACGTAAGAGCGCGTTTTTCCCAGCTGTCGTGCGTGTCTAACGAGCACTCTAATTGACAAAACGATACACGGACGCGGACGGCGCGCAAACGTCAGCGACGCGACACCGTCACCGCGACAAAATACACGAACGACGACGCGCTCCTTCGTGCTCGTCGTCGCTCGACGTCGTTGTATTTTTCCATTCGAGCCGGCGCACACGACGAGCAGCACGAAAACGACATAGAAAATGATCCGGCGGCACGACGGTACGACAATCGGGTCGATCGCAAGTATAAATCAGCTGACGGACCGCTCGAGGCTGCACGGTAGGTCGAGCGGAACCGCAACTGGCATTTCCATAAATTCCGATTCCGAGAATGAAGTATGATTAATGCGACTTGGTCGTCGATCACTCTCCTCATGGCCGCGGGGCACGACAGTAGTCGCGGGCGACTTGGAGGTTATTGTGCCAAGGGGGAGCAGAACTGAAGAGACCACCCTCGGGCCTGGTGGAGTCGTCGGCTCGATAGGAACGTCGTATACGTGATACAATCCGTTGGATGCACAATATCGACGCCGACGTCGCGACGCAGGTTAAAGCGAGCCGCTCGCGAGAGCACGGGGAATTTAATAACGGAGGAGCTCCGCACGCTGAATACGACGCAATTCGGCCCGTGAGGTCGACGTGAGCGAGCGAGCGACAAGGGACGTTGATTTTTCCGAGGTCTCCTCGCCGCTCAGAAGCGCGTTCGATCGCAAGCGGTGTCGCGCTCTCCCGTCATCGCGTCGCGCATTCGTCGGGCGATAATCGATGGTGGACGATCGCGACTGGTGGAGGCCGCGCGACGACTCGGTTTACACTTTCACGGAGCGTCGCGATGGTGAGTTTTTTTCTACAGTCCGACAAGCGCGCGCGGTCCGTTTGTACATAAATTTTTCTACGGAGCTTATAGAGTCCATCTCTCTCCCCGCTTGTGTTTTGTAAACGCATTTTTTACGACGTTCCACGCACGACGTGTCGCCGTCGCCGCGCGTGTTTGGCTTCTCGCTCGGTCGGGCCGAAACCTCGCCGAGGGAGACCTACGACTCTTCTCCTCCGCGATTCATTCGCGAGAACAGCCGGGCTTAAGCTCGTGTTGGATCAAACGCTCGTCGTGCGAAGCCACGCGGGTGCAAACGGCCGGAACGTGGCCGTGTTCGGCTCGCCGTGCACTTCGTCGATGAATTATCGATGCTCCTAAGGCCTTGCTCTCGCGGTTTCGGCTGTTCGGCGGCAGTTCCGGAGCGCGCAGTTCGGATGGCCGGGAAGCTCGGCGGGAGATGCGTCGCATCTGCTGCGGCTGTTACATCTCGCTTACGACGCGACGGCAACGACGCTCGCCCGCGACGCGACAAGAATCGTGCTCGGTTTGTTAACTTCGTGCTTCTCGCGGTGGAATAACTGGGTTAACTCCCTCGCCAGACGCGCTTCTCGTTTACCGCGTAATACCATCCATCTCGCACGCTCCGCGTATTCGCGGGAAAGAGACAGAACCCGTGAAGGACGACGGGTCCTTCGATCGAGCGTAGGGCGTGGAAAACAATCTGTTTTTCGCCAGCTGGAAATTCGGACGTATTGTCTCTCTCTCTCTCTCTCTCTCTCTCTCTCTCTTTCTGTCTTTTTCTTTCTTTCTCTCTCTCTCTCTCTCTCTCTCTCTCTCTCTCTTTTGACCCCGGCAGTTCGACGGAAACACCGAAACACGTTTCACCTAGGATTGCCAAATCCAAAAGTTAAAATTATCGGACATTTCTTCTTTGGTAACAAACCCCAAATCGGACTAAACCAGACAGAAATAATAATTATAACGTTATATTAAATGCAAAATTTGACAAGAATTCATTTGCAATATTAATTTCCAAACAATTTTATAAACAAGATTTGATCGAATAAAATAATAAACTATTACTTTTTCAATATACATGGAATGATGGATCGGCAGATTATCTACTAGATGGCTTCTCGTGGCGCTCGATCGTTTGTAGGCGCTTGAAACGGAGAAACATCGCTAAAAAATCTGAACTCTCATTCCATTGATTGGATATAACTTAAAAACCGGACATACGACGTCCGGTTTGACTTAGTAATCGAACACTGGACAAGACTTCTGAAAACCTGACAGCCCGGGTCAAAACGGCGATGATTTCTTGTGTTTCGAGAGAACGACCTCTTCTGCATCTTTCGACGAGAAAAAATGTCCGTCTCGCGTCGGTCGAAGAGGTCGCGTGTTATTTCTTTGCGCACACAACACGCCTCGTCGTTGTCGTACGACACGCGCTGACGCGTCTAACGACTAATTTCTATCCGACCATTGTCATCGATTTTCCCCTCCCCCGAGTTATTCCGAGCGGCACTCCGCGAGAGAGAGAGAGAGAGAGAGAGAGGGAGAGAGAGAGAGAGAGAGAGAGAGAGTGCGAACGAAGAGGTGAGCAAGAGAGAAACGGAAAGAGAGGCTGTTTACTCAGCAAACAGTCCGCACGGCTCCAAGTGGCTCGCGAAACAACAGCTTGCGAACAATGCAGTCTCGCGTGCGCGCGCCCCGCGGCGCGATCCCGGTGACGCGAAATCGCTAAATTTAGTCGAACGCGAGACGCGACTAATCCGATCGCAAGAGGCGAGCGTGGATGAGCGGCGGGAACGGCAAGAAGGGTGACGGAGAGCGGTCATCGGTTCGGCGAGAAAGAAAGAGCGGAAGAATGGAAAGAGAACGAGGTCGTGGGAGGCGACGAAAAGGGCGCCGCGACAATGACCGGCAACGACAGCAGCGAACGACAACAATCAAACTCGGGAAATCGCACGAGCGATCGAATCGGCGGTTAAATCGTGATACCGAACGGCATGTCTTTGTGATATGGAACTTAGGCGTATATTGGGATTTATACTATATATATATATATATATATATATATATATAATATATATATAACGAATGTAGATATATTATATATATATATATATATTATATATATATATATATATGCATATATGTGTGTGTAAAATACATGTTAAGTCGAATTGTACCGGCGAATAGGAATTTGTAAAGCGCGATGTAGGCATTAATCTCGTCGTAGATAGGAGCGATCGCGAGGGCACCGATGTCGCCCCTCTCCCCCCCCCCGCTCGTCTTTGCACTCCGCCGACGAGGAGCGAGGAACGGAGAGTCGTTGTGATTCAACGTTTTCCCCGAGGCTGACGGTGCCAGTCTCGGCAAGTGTTTCTCGTGAATAATAAAAAAATCAGCAGTGCAATCGAGCGGTTTGCGTGTGTCACGTGCGACGCTCGACGTTCTTCGCTCGAGGAGTCCAAGCGAGTCCAAGAGTGTTCAAACTGTGCGGGTGTCGGGATCGAGCTTGTGAGGTGTAACAACCGAGATACGCCGAGGGAACACGGGGCAACCCTCGCGACACGTCCGTGACGCGAACGTGAGTTTCGAGCTTAGACCTCTTTTTCCCTCCTCGTCAACCCTTTGCTTTTCCCAAAGCGACCTCGAGCGCGGAAGAGTCGCTCGGCGATTTTGTACTTTTGCGTTTGGCGTTGCGCGATAGTCGCGCGTGTAGCGTAGCGTACCGTTGACTTTCTTTCCGAGCGAACATTACCTTCGCGAGACCTCAATGCATTCGCGATGTGCGAGAAGCGTTCGGCGGAGTTAATCACTCGTCGGAGGATGGCAGAGAGAGAGAGAGAGAGAGAGAGAAAAAAAAAAAAAAAAAAAAAAAAGAGAGAGAGAGAGAGAGAGAGAGAGAGAGAGAGAGAGAGAGAGAGAGGAGAGAGAGAGAGAGAGAGAGAGAGACGGCTTCGTCGCGAAAGGACCGGGAGCGTCTCGGAGAGCACACGAGGAGCGGAGCAGCGCGAGTCCATTATTCGCGCGAGAGACGCGCCTTAAATAGCATCGCGCGTTCGCGCCAAATCGAGAAGGCGAAGGAGCAATGACGAAAAAATCAATACCTCGCGGTGGAGGGCGGGAGGAGAGGACGTAATTCCGAGCGGCGAGTATCGGCGAAGATATGTACTCGGTGGATAAAAAGCGAGAGAGAAAGAGAGGAGAAGAGGGGGGCAGCAGCTCTTTGCCTCTCTCTCTCGTTCCTGCCGGCGTTCTGTGCGAGCCTTCTGTAGTACGGTCGGTGTCGCGATTGGCTTCGCTATATATCTGCACGGCTATATTCTAGTTTGTCGTTCGTTAAGTTCGTCATTAAACGTTTACCGTTATACGCGAGCGTTCCGTATGAAGCGCGAACCTCGGAGCGCAGCGACAACAACCCCGCGGATCTGCATTTTGCAAGTCCCGCCTTAAATGCGGCTTTAACCGCTCGAAGGCCGCTTCACGTGCGACTCAGCATTCAAGTTGGGCCGAGGCGCGAATCGCAAGACTGACCGTTTCTTTTCTTTTTCTTTCCGTACGATTCACACACACACACAACACATACGTGCGCGCGGCTCTCAAAGATCGGAAGAATGGACCACCAGCTACGCCTCCCTCGCCCCGAACCTTTCATGGTTCCGCGTGACGGCCGCGCCGCCGTGAGAGAGTGTTAATCGCGGCGCTCCAGTGTGTATCTCCGGAAAAGCAACCGCAATCCGTCGCTCCGCCGAGCTTCCCGGAAACCGATCGGAAAGAAAAATACCGGAGAGATATCCGAGAGAGAGAGAGAGAGAGAGAGAGAGAGAGAGAGAGAGAGAGAGAGAGAGAAGAGAGAGAGAGAGAGCAGGAAGAGAGACAAAGAGCAAAAGACCGTATTGACCGGTCTCGATGCGGGGAGAAGAATCGCCGCTTGACTAACGCTGTTCCAAGTGAGGGTCCAGCGCGTGATTCGCCGAGGGAGAGAGAGGAGAAAGAAAGAAGGAGAGAGAGAGAGAGAGAGAAGACCGGTCGTCGCTACCACTGCCGATATAAATACCGTTCGTCGCGGTTACTAGCGCGCCACGCTTTCTTTACCAAGCACCGGCGTTCCAAAACGAACCTGGTCTCTCCTCCGTTTCCTCGTCCCCGCAAAACCCCCGACGAGAGCGCGCAGTCGTCGGCTGTCCGATTAATCACTTCGCGATAGGGCATCTATCTCGCACCGCACCACCACCCCTCGTCCCTTCTTCTCCTGATCTTGATCGATCGCGGCTCGGCGCAATCATTTTCGATCGTCATAGCGCCAAGTCGTCCCTTCACGCGCGATTCGCACTACCTCGCACGCGTTTTGCTTCGCACTTCCTTTTGTTCGCTCGCTTGCGGCCGGTGTCGTCACGGCGCATTCGCGTCGCCGGACCGGACTGATCTCTCGGAGGAGAAAGTCCCCGCTCGAAACCGCCGTCTATCTCGGGGTAGTCGAGCGCGCGAACAGTCGCGTCCTCTCTCTCTCTCTTTCTCTGTTCTGTCTCTCTCTCTCTCTCTTTTTTTCTCTAGTCTTGCCTCGTTCCTTTTCGTTCCCCCCGCCGTCGGGCTCCAGCCGCGGTTTTTCTCGCAGCCTCGCTGTTCGTGTGCAAACGCGTCCTGACGTCAA